TCACGGCGGCTCTCCCGCACCATCACCGTGTGGCAGATGGCCAGCAGGCGCCAGAACTCGCGCACCGCCGCGTCCCTGTTGCTCCGCACGAGGTTCAGCAGGGCCGCGTTGTGGAAAAGCAGCTTCCCGTCGGCGAACTTGTTCCAGAGGTAGGGGTCCTCCTGGGGGCGGCGGGGGGCGGCGGGCTGTGGGCGGGCCACTCCCTGTGCCCCATCCCCCTCACCGTCCCGCGCTGCAGGGCGGGCAGGCTCACCTTGGGTCGGGTCCTGGCCTCCGAATCTGGCCCTGGGGAAAGACATGGCTTCAGGCCCCGGCTCCCACAGGCGGGGCCCCCATTCGGGATCCCACAGCCCCTGCCCCCTAGTCTCAGGCTTCTGGGGGCCACCGGATGCAGCCACACAAGCCAGGCCTGCGGTCCTGGAACCGACGCCCCGAGCAATCTTGGGGCGAAAGCTGACCTCGGCTTCCACCATTTGCAGAAAGCAGGAAGAGGGGAGCACGCCCATCCTGTCTCGCAGGGATCCCTAAAGGACGGCCTGGAGCGGGATGCAGCCCCATCCGTGGGGCATATTTTGTTTCCCACTCCTGGGGTGAGTTTTTGTTCTTTTTTATTTATTTATTTATTTTTATTTTTTTATTTTTGAGACAGAGTCCTGCTCTGTCGCTCAGCCTGGAGTGCAGTGGCACAAGCTCAGCTCACTGCAACCTCAGCCTCCTGGGTTCAAGCGATTCTCCTGTCTCAGCCTCCTGAGTAGCTGGGATGACCCGCGCCTGTCACCACGCCTGGCTCATTTTTGTATTTTTAGTAGAGACGGGGTTTCACCATGTTGGCCAGGCTGGTCTCAAACTCCTGACCTCGTGATCCGCCCTCCTAGGCCTCCTAAAGTGCTGGGATTACAGGTGTAGCCACTGCGCCCAGTCACTTTTTATTCTTTATTGTTCTTAGAGATGGGGTCCTACTCTGTGGCCCAAGCTGGAGCGCAGTGGTGCGATCATAGCTCACTGCAGCCTCAACTTGCCGAGCTCAAGCCATCTTCCCTCTTCAGACTTCCAAGTTGCTGGGGCAACAGGTGCACACCACCCCTTTGTGGTGTCTTTTTTTAATTTTTTTTATTTTTGAGATGGGGTCTCTCTCTATCACCCAGGCTGCAGTGCAGTGGCTTGACCTTGGTTCACTGCAACCTCCACCTTTGGGTTCAAGCAGTTCTCCTGCCTCAGCCTCCTGAGTAGCTGGGACTACGGGTGCACGCCACCATGCCCGGCTACTTTTTTGTATTTTCAGTAGAGACAGGGTTTCGCCATGTTGGCCAGGCTGCTCTCAAACTCCTGACCTCAGGTGATCTGCCCGCCTCAACCTCGGGCCCCTTTTTCTATAGCTGAACTTGAACCATTTCTTGGGGACTTCTCACTACACTAAATTATGACCCAGTTCAAACCATGTGCCCTGGTTATAAATTAGACCCGGGGCTGTCAAACTACACCCCACCACATCGTCAGTTTTTGTACAGCCTGCGAGCTAAGAATTGCTTTTGGATTTTTAAATGGTCAGGAACAAAAATGGCAAGAAGAATATTATTTTGTGGCCGGGTGCGGTGGCTCACGCCTATAATCCCAGCACTTTGGGAGGCCGAGGTGGGCGGATCACAGGTCAGGAGATCGAGACCATCCTGGCTAACACAGTGAAACTCCGTCTCTACTGAAAATACAAAAAAATTAGCTGGGCGTGGTGGTGGGCGCTGAGGCTGGGAGGCTGAGGCAGAATGGCGTGAACCCAGGAGGCGGAGCTTGCAGTGAGCGAAGATCACACCACTGCACTCCAGCCTGGGCAGAGACTCCGTCTCAAAAAATAAAAAAAATAAAAAATAAACTGTTTTGCAATCTGGGAAATACCCAAGAAATTCGAATTTCAGCATTCACAAATAAAGGCTTGTGAGAGTCAAAAGAGGAATAGTGGCCGGGCATGGTGGCTCACATCCTCACACCTGTAATTCCAGCGCTTTGGGAAGCGGAGGCGGGCGGATCGCTTAAGCCCAGGAATTCAAGACCAGCCCGGGCAACATAGGGATACCCTGTCTTGACAAAAAATACAAAAATAAGCTGAATATGGTGGCATGCTCCTGTAGTCCTGGCTACTTGGGAAGCTGAAGTGGGAAGACTGCCTGAGTCCAGGAATTCCAGGCTGCAGTGAGCTATGATTGTACCACTGCACTCCAGCCTGAGCAACAGAGCAAAGCCCCATCTCAAAAA